GTACGATATCCAATCACGTGTTTTAGTTTTAATCATTTGAAGGACCTGGCCTGCAGGAATGAAGTTCCACATCCCACATTTACAGGTAGTTTGCACTCCAGATTTTTCATGCCTTTCCACACATACTATAAACCAAACTTCACACTGGCTTTCTGTGTTTGTCCGTAGTTTCCAGCTTGTTTTACTACACTTCATCAAACTTTTCCACAATTTCAGAATGATTTACCTGCCTATAGACACACACACATACTGTAACTACTGTAAGTAGTATGAAAAGAAAGCACGGTTTCACATATTTGTTTGTTGAAACTTCAAGCAAACTCCTATAAGACAGTCTTAGGAATGTTGGGTTATGCTTAAGTACTGTGGGTTAGTCTGTGTGATGCGACTGGCTTCAGCTGCAGTTATTACTTAAGGGCCCTGATCACAAATTTAAATCATATGAAACTGCAATTGAAAACATGTGAAGCTAAAATAGTGGGATTCTGTAAAGTATGTTGTCATTTTTTCAAGATTATTAAACCAAGAAAATAAAATACGAGTTTCTCCAAATTTTTGCCCCATGTAATTTTATTAAAATATGACACCTGATTAATGACTTAAGGAAGTTTTAGAAGAGAGCACAGCTGCTTTGCGGTATTAGGAGTCGAACATCTTTTGCAGCAATTACCATACAGGCCAAGTATGATGGATTACCCATGAGGCTCCAGGTTTTTTTGCGTTGTCAAAGTCCTGCGGCCATGAAATGAAATCTCATGGTTTTTAGCACTCACTATGAAAAATTATTAATAGAAAATATATTCAAAATCCTGTGCATTTTGCATGGAAATGTATACAAGAGAAAGCCATGAGTGACGATACACTCACTGGTTTTACACAATGTAGGTTCAGTGTAATGGCACTTCACAGCTGATCCATAATACAGAGGATCTTATGCATAAGGTAGAATGAACATAGTTCTACTGCTGCAAATGTTTCCCTACAGTAATGTGAATTTAATGTGATATATCTTAGTTTTGCAAAATAAGATACTCATGTACTTTAGATGTGATTTTTTATTTGACATATTGTTTTTATATACAAAAGCTTTATACTTTAGTATATTAGCTCTCTTTAGTATATTAAGTTTTTCTCTCCATCTGAATTTCTACAATGGTTTCTGTTTCTAATCAGTTTTTTTGCAGAAGAGATCGCTCTGATGTTGAACCCTTGTGGGTGACACGTACTGTATGGACTACAAATAGAAACTCATCTGTAAGTGTTAGATATCCAGTAGTGAATCTCAACTGAACCAGTTAACTGTCCTACCACCACAGTAGCTACCATCTACTTTTTCACATTATTATGTCCTAAAGGGACAACCTGTCTTGAAATGTTTTTTTTTAATCGATTTAAGCTTTAATGGCTGAACAGTGGCTCTGGACTTTTTCCTTATAGCTTTTCATAATTTAATCTGAGGTTGTACTGCTTGGATCTAAAAAAAGGAATTTGCTTTTTACCCATAAGTCTAAAGTGAATTTTCTTTTAAAGTGCAGGTGCTGAAATGTGGAGAATATAAAAACGTCAGAATGGAAATGAACTGGCAAACCATATTTCCAGCTTTTCATTGGCAACTTACTATCTTGATCCAAATCACTGCTTAGAAGAACAGGTTCTTTTTCTGGGCACTGGAACCCAGGTGTAAAATCTATTAAATCCATATGCATTTACATAGTACTTTTCCTCCTAAATAATCCTAATCCTGTGCTTTACAGGTAACAGGAGTACAGCCTCCTGTAACACAGAGGTGCTCAGTGTAGCTGTCATTTTCCAGTAGTTTGCAGTGGTTTTAGCACTTTAGTCATACAAAACTTTAAGTCTGAGCTCATAAGTGGTGTCAGTCAAGGGTATTCGGAAGTTCCACTATTACTGTTATCAAGAAAACTGATTTTCAAAGGGGATTTTTTTTCATAAATTTTTTTACAGTTCGAACCACTGGAGCTTTCATTCACCATTGATAAAAAAACATTTTTAATCAAAACCTGCTGTACATGCAATTCGAAATCTGTCACTCCACATTCCTAATCACTTAATCCAGTACAGGATTATGGGGGAGCCGGTGTCGAATCCAGCAAGAAATGGGTGTATGGGGTGCCAGTCCATCACAGGGCACACACAGATACACATGCTCACATCAGGGCCAGTTAACCTCCCAGCATGTCTTTGGGTAGTGGAAGAAACCCACATACAAACTCCACATAGAGAGCACCCCAGAAATCGAACCCAGGGCCCCGGCACTGTGAGGCAGCAATGCTGACCACTGTACTGCCCACAAATTTAAAATCAATTTTGCAAATCAAAAGAGTTAGTGGCACAATATTCATTTGTTTAATATTCACGTAGCCTTGGATCTCAAGATACAGTACAGATTGCAATTGCTTGCATTTCTTCAAATTCAATGTATTCCCTATCGGGATGTTTAACTTTGCAGCATACATCTCCCAGCACAGGACTTGGAGTTGGAATATATCCAAGAAAACTGGTCCTGTTTATATAGAGAGAGAGATACAAACATGAATTTCGTTTTATATGGAAAAATAAAAGAAAATATTTAGGCTTCAGGTGGCAAGGTGACTACTGTACCTTATGATTGGTGGGTATTAGTCTGTAAAAGATGTGTAATAACATACAGCAGGTATCTCGAGTGATTAATTTGTCAGAGAGAAAGTGCTTTGTACTATTTTTGCATGCTTTCATCACAGATTAGCACATTTTGCATTTTGTTTTCTAGTGACAAGCTGACAGCTGTCTGGTAAAAGCTTTGAAAGGTTCAGCTTCACAATAAGAGATTCAAGTAAAAAATATGATTGTTAATTTTTAGAATATCATTTATTCATTCTATTTCTGAGTTATGTCAAAGCAGCTGTACAATTTTAAGATGTGTATATTTATATGAAACAGAAATCCCTATTATGCAAATGGGCCCTAATAATCACACACTGTATGTTTTAAAAACAGTACGCCAGATTTTTTAATTAACATCCAAGATCCATCAGAAATATTTTAAAGTCACATATGCAATGAAAAATGCAAATGCAAAACCAACAAAGAGTGTTCAGACACACTCCTGTCAGGCAGGTGCTAAAGCACAACTTCATGTTTTCTTAAACTGTTGTGTCAGCTGTTGCTATTCTGTGTTCACGCACTAGCAGTGAGATCAACAAAGCTTATCGCTAAAATTAAAAGTTTTTTCCACTCGTTCTGAGAATGAATTTCATGACAGTTTGAAAACAAAACCTATAAACATAAACTCTAACAGATGTATAAACTGTGCTGGTTGAGCAACAAGTTTAAAAGATGCAGATCAGATTTTGCCCGTGTTGCATATCAGCATGCGACATTAAACTCACACTGATAGCTGAGTTTGCAGGGGGAGTCCTGTGGTGGAAACGGTGCATCTCACACATGATGAGTGAACGATGAGCCGGCAGTGACTTGTGCACTTGCAGGAGGCAGAAACTAGGGCTGGATCATCTTTTCCAAGGACCTCGCAGAAGGTGTCACATGTCATCAGCATTTCCCCCACTCAGGGAGGGAAATCTCTTCCAAAGGCAGGCTGCCAACAATAATAGCCGACTCCAGTAGGTCGGCACAGGAAGAGAGAGGCTGGAAACTGATTTGTAAGTCTCCATTCCTGAGCCAGAAAGACTTTATTTGAGCGGGCCTCAAGAGACCTATAAAGCTTCAAAAAGGCACATTCCATCCACGTTATTTCTTAAGTCCTTTTATGAGGAGCTTGATTTGAGTTTTTTTAGTAGGCTGTACTGTTTTGTGTAAAAATGTCTGTGGTGTGATGGGACTTTCTAAGCCTCTGAAAGCTCAAAGGTGAGGGTCTGTTGAAGCAACCTTGAAAACATTTTTGGCAACATTATAAACCCAGAGTGAACAAACACCACTGCCAGAGCAACATTTCCCATAGTCAATACAACTAGGGATGTTTGTGACTAGATACAATTTTACCAAAACAGTTTTCCATCTGCAGAGACATCTCTTTGGGTTTTGTCCAAAAAATGACATTGTCAAGGTTAACCTGCCCTTAGCTCTGTAATTACATCTTTGGGTAGTACTGACTGTTCTAAACAGGAGCTGTTCTTCACAATTACTGTGTAAAAAATGGAATTTAAACATGTCATAATATTTGAAGTTGCCAGTATCCTAAATTATTTCTCAAGCCAAATTCTATCTGCTTGAAACACGAACTGTGTGCTTCACCGGCACATCATAAAAGCAGTAAAAGACCATAGCATGTTGTAAGTCAACATGGAGAAAACCTTTCCCCAAACCTCCTTCTCAGTGTTGCAAAATGACTCTCACCTTGCTTCCGAAGGCTATGTCATTTGTGTCAAGCAACACCCCAGAAACTGGCCTTGTTAAGAACACCAACAGGAAACCTTGTTAGAGACAAAGTGAAATCTGTCTGTTGCAGGTGAAAAAAAACATTGCTTGGACCTTTCAAAAGCAGCAGGTTGGCAGCATAATTTATAGCTTGCACTTTTGTTTTGCAGATGTATCACGGATGTAATGATCTTAACCTTTTCTGAAATGTCACATTTTTCACAGGATAAAATACTCACTCAGCAGGAATGTAACCAGCAGCAAAAAATACAGAATAGATCCAAACAGTGTTGCGGAAAAATGTACAGACTGTTGATATTGATTGAGTTCAAGTGATGTTAGTTTAGAATGTTTATGAAAAGAATTTGCTCCAGTATATTACCACTTCAGAATTTTTGTTTAGTTTAAACATTATTTTTCAGTAGGGGTTCATTAGCAGTTCATTACGTTTTTTAGTGAAGCACATGCTGTGTTCTCATTTCAGATCCATGAGTAGGAGTAGTTAATGTTCTAGGTCATGGTTTACTACGGATGCATTTACACTGATTAAGTCATCTTTTATATTTTTCAGTAGCTGATGGCTGTTTAAAGAAATCAACTGCTAAACAAATCTTTTGATAACTCACCCGAAGGGATTTGATTCAGCTCTTCTCTGACGGACCTGGTGGCTTATGAAGATGGCTGTTTGATTGTTGCCCTCCTCAGGAACAGTCTGGGTTCAGGAGTGACAAGTGTACATGCTGCAGACTGCAGCGACCACAGCAGTGTCTTCAACATGATGAATTACAATGTGGATGGCTGCTAGGTTCCCTCACAAAAACGCAGATCCGATCCAATACAAGGCTGAGAAAAGTGATAAACATATACTGTACTGTACTGTATTTGTTTGTTTGTTTGTTTTTCAACCTGCTGTACCATTTGTACCTTTTTGACTTTCATTGCTTTTCTGCAAAAATCAAGCTTTGCTTAATGTTTTTGTCTTTGCAGTCTTTCATTACACATTCCAGCTCATCTGTGTCTCCCCTGTTGTTTAAATTAATTTTAAACTTTGGCAGGATCCAAAGGAGATGTTTCCAGTCCACAATCATTGGAAAACTGGAGGATATACTGAGCAGACATTTTGCAGTCTGTTACATTGCAGGGTGGCAGAGACCTAAGGAAGGACAGGATAGTCCTGAAGAACAAACCTCTGGGCTAAGACTGGGAGCTTGAAATAGCACCCATAATTAAAACAGGCATAGGAGTGCCGGGACATCATCATCTTTCTACACGGTTCTGCAGGATTTCTGAAGGACTCACACAAGGAATGGAATGATTTTAAAATATAAAATATCGGTTGATATGACCAGAATTAAACAAAACAACCAGATCAGCTGGGCTCCGTTTGTGTTGCCAATGTGAACACATTTCTTGCATCCAGCTTTAATCTTGTGGAGAAGTAATTAATTAAAAATAAGACAAATTTACATTACTGACAAAGGAAGTTCTACTTTTTTGTGGATTCAATAATATCTTTATATATTTATTTTGCCCTTCATGCTGTTCTCTTGAAATCGAAGATAATAGAATGTACAACTGAACACTCAGTAACATTCAGTAACAGTCTTAATAAAACAAATCAAGCACTCCTTTCCCTCAGTGTATCACGACAATGAAACTGATATCAAGGCCTTCAGGAGTGGAAAGAGACAACCACCCAAGTGGTACATATTGTTTTTTCTTCTGCTATAAGGAAGACCTACAGTTTGATGGTCAGATTGTTTAATGTGACTGCTTCCTTTCATACCATTACAGAGAAAGAATGTTTTAAATTAAACATTTGTGCTAAACTTGATGTGCTGGGCTGAATGCATCATTACATCTCCAGGCAACAGCTGGAAAGAATAAGCAGTCGTTGGTTGCTTTATAAACTGCCAGTAATGGGACTGGGCACGCTGGTGTGAGCTACATACTGTATCTATGCCAGTGTTTTGTCACCTTGAGCTAACTGAGCACCGAGTCTTTCATAGGAAAGAATCAGCCTCCTCAAGCACTGCCTAATGCCTCCTAGTAAAGTCAGTATCTTGGGTGAACAGTAAATCGCAGATCATTATTCCACAGTTCTATCAGGAGATAACTGACCCACTCACAAACACAAGATTTGATGTCTTTGTTGCACCATCATCAGCATTTAAAAACATTATTTCCCTAACAGATTTAAATGTGTTATAGCCCTGTGATGTACTTCTATTGTTAGTGTGTTTGCTTACCCACATCACAGTGCTGTTGCCTACTTACAATGAGAGGTTTGAGCATTGTGGCACAGCTAATGATAGAAGTACAACAACTGGTCTGAAAGGCCAGGTGACTCCAGGCTCTTTGTGATCACCAAAAGGGTAGAACCGGTAGAAGGCAGATAGTTTATAATAACTATCATGTAATTTTCATATTATTTGAAACTAATGCAGAAGCAGTACAAAAGAAGGACAGGTGTACTGCAAGATATAGAAGTGTGGTACAATGTCCATTGCGCCACCTCGGCCCTGCTCTCTGTTGCACACTGTGGGCGTCATTGTCTACCTCACGGGCTGGTCCTGACCGGTCCTGGTCTTGCGCCGCTCCATGTCAGTTATAGCGGTACCTAGGACAGGTGCGTTCCTTTGCTTTCATCACCTGCAGGGAGACTTGGGGTTCCCCCATGGGGCAGCGCACCCTGTCACCAAGGGGATCACCCCCCCTTCACCAACATGGAAAACCAATAGATCCAGCTCTGCAGGGGATGACTAGAGCATGTCAGAGCCAAGGATACATGGGTCTGCAAAGTCTGCATTGATACTGGAGTGAACTGGGATCTCGTACTGTCTGAGCAAGATCTTCCCTGTGACCATCCTGTGTTGAATGCATCTGGGCACCAGTTCAGCTTTTACACCATCAGCAGTTGGGTGTTTAGGCTCCTCCCGGCTCTTTGATCCACACCCTCACTCTGCCACCCAGAGTAGGTTCTCTTTCCTAGCAACCAGAGTCCTACAGCAAAACTGCCCAGGTGCTGTCTGCTCACCTTCGTCAGTCTTTACCAGGCAACTTCAGGGGACTCACTCCCACTGCACCACCTTTCAGTCCCGACCGTTGCACAACCTTTCTTCCACGGCCATGAACACAGAGACCACCCCTCCCACTGCGTTTCCCAAACAAACAGGCGGCCCACTGTCACTTTGGGGAATGTTCTCTTGTATACCTCCCAGTCTACAGTCCCATCAGATGCATTATTTCACTGCTTTCATGTTTTAAAACATTGCCTGCCTACATAATTTATTGACTTCAGCCAGGCATTCAAAATTAAAGAAAGAGAAAGATGGCATTTTATTTAGGAAATGTATATCTTGCATGCATATCTGTTAGTTACTTCCATGAATAATAGTAAAAATTTCATTATATAAGCTAATTTAGTAGTATTGCTTGAAATATAGTTTGTTTAGTGAAAGTAATATTCATCTCAGTATATAATTTCACATTTCTTTTCCATTTTGTTGTATCTCTGGCATCCCTCATGAGACATCGGCTTTTTGTTATTTTGCTTCGGATACTTATGTATCTCCTCATCTAGCAATTTCTGAAATATGCTGCGGTAACTCAGCATCTTAACAATGAAAAAGCTCTTGATCCTATGATGAAAAAGAAAAGCATTTAATACCACACAGATGGTGCCAATCATTGTGCACTGACAAGTTTGTCGGTTAGCCTTGTCTTCAATTTTGATAAATCTGACATCAGGCATTTGCTTTAAGTGGTTGTACATGGTAGTTCAAGCCTCTTTGGGACTGACCTGTGAAAGATAATGTTGCCAAAATATTCTTTCCATATTTTGAAAATGAAATGATTCTTAGTTCTGCATGCTAATTGCTTCTAACAGCAGTTTCTTGCAGAATCTTTGAATGAAGGAAACCGTAATTATTAAGTGCAAATAAATGTTTGCCTTAACACCCACTTTGTGCTTTGTATTTTTGTAAAATAAATATATTTATTAATTGTCAGTAAAATCCTTGTCACACTGACTAAAACCTGCTCTATAATCCATTGTAATTTCACCCAGAATACAGACACTGTCTCTAACAAAATGAATACAGATAAACGACATTTCCTTTCCAAGTAACTGTATTTGATTTTTGAATTAATGAAAGAAACAACAGAGAAATTCTGTTTGTCACCCTTTTTAAATGCTGAGAAGTATCTGCATTTCTCCTAACGAAAGGCATGAACTGCTAAATATTGATGTTAATTTTTTCTGGGGTTTCCTCCACTTATTCTACATCTCCCAAGTCCCCGAATGGCGCCATACTAAAGCCAAGCGCAACAGTGCCTTTTAGAGAAGGGCTCACAACCGGGAAAGACTGTGCCATACTCATCATCATTGTGAGTCTCATATCAATTGTTACCTGAACAAAACCTTCAGATTCTGTTTATGCTCCCACTGAGATCATTTTTAGCAACCCCCGTTATCTTATTTTTGGGGCCTGGTGATAACGGCAGCCTTGTTACTGCTTTTTAACCTGAGCTTATTAGATCCCAAAGCTCAGCTGGACCAGCTCGGTACTGGAAAGGAATTCATTGCATCTCCTCCTACTGTATATACTGTATTTAAAGTGATTTGGGGTCCTTTAAGATGAAAAAGGCTATAAAAATGTAATTTATTATTATTATTATGGTGATAATGATTAATGGGAAGAGACTCAATTTCCCCCATGGTACCTTTTTTGCATGGAAGACATACGATCCCGTATACATTTTCAATACTTGTCATTTTTTCTATCTGTTTGTGCCCTGGAATCCTTCAACATCTGGACAGCATCCGCCTAAAAGACAACTCTTTTGCCATTCATTCACCTGTTTATGGAGGGAGAGTTTCCAGCAGGACCACGTGGGACTAGAGGTCACTATCAGTTTGCTCGTTACAGAAGGATCTGCTGTTTCAGAGAAGCAAAATCGCTCCCGCTGCTCGAATTTCCTCACTTCAATATTCAGAGTGGCGCAAGTGCAATTTTATCTGAAATAATGCTTCCTTGTTGAGTGATAAGGAAAAGAACACAGAAAACTAACATTGTACAATTAGACCAGATTTATATTTTTGTCAACTCTCTTATTGGGAAATAACATACTTGATCAAAATGGCATTTAAATTATAAATACCTTATAAGTATTAGACATACATACAAATATTACACAATTCCAAAGACAATTTAAAACATGCTTTTTTGTTTTATCTTAAAAAATAAGATTGATTTATCATATTATAAGATTGATTGATTTTCATCTGAATGCTGGTTAGTCTTGAAGTTAAAGAGACAGTAAGGAGAGCCCTAGCAAAAACTGTTTGGATGTTTGATTGCTGCCAGGAAAAGCTCTTTCAGAATTGCATAGGGGAAAAGAAAGCCCTAGCTGAACAAGGTATCTTTTAATACATTCCAGCTGTTCTAACAAGTGAAGCATTGTGCTGACTCCTGTGCTGTGTGCTCTGTGATTACAGGAACTGCAGGTAACATTGATACAAACTCAGACAGTACTGTAAGTTTTTAAGAGACCCTAATATCAAGCTCTGAATTTAACCCAGAATTGTTCATTGGCACATACCTCGTACTTTTCATCAATACCAGCTCAGAACACTGGGATGATATGTTTTACATAAGATTTTCGTTTACCTTCAGCACACATAATAGTTCATTCAAAGTGTTTTGAGGGAAAATGGCTAATGACTTGCAGAATCTGAATTTCCATAAAGTTAAAATAGCTATCACATTCCACCATCCTTTACTCAGGAACTGTGGTATTTGACTTTCATGCAGTAGATACCTCACACACACAAATGTTTCTTTGGCACATGTGAGCAGATTCTTGGCTTTTGAAGCAGATGGTTGTGGGATTTAAAAAAAAGCTACCTGCACCCATGCTATGATCCTCGTATTCATGATCATTGTTCCCACATTGGGAGATCTCCAGCAGGAACTCTCCAAGCAGCAGTCTGCAGTTACACGTTTCTGGCACCAGGAGGCGACATTCTGGAGAGCGGAAGGGCAAATATCAAGGAAACCTTGATAAAAGGAAAAAGAATGCATACATTATAACCACACCAAATTTACCGTTTTCTTTTAACAACTATCTCTTTTAGTTGAAAAGCATTGTAATAAATCTGTTTGCCACAATGAGATACCACAGAATTATTGGGAATCTAAAAAATTATCTCTTTATTCTGAAGCTGCTTCTTCTGAGTTTTTAAACAGGGTACACTGCATTTAGGCATAGCAAGCTCCATTATGCCATATGAAACAGTAAGGCACAAGCCTAGGGGGCTCATATGCCCCTTTTCATAGATTTTAGCACTTACAAGCATATAAACACAAACTCATAACTAATCCACGTTGTCATCCTGAATAATGTGAAGATAAGTGTTAATCATTACATACAGCACTACTATCTACATGTACACTATCTACATTTTTATTGTTAAATTCCTCAATATTATTGTTTTGTACTTATTTAGCTATTGTTTATCCAAAGGTAACTTGTATTTGATGGAGTTCTGAAGGTGGAAAAATGTCTGAAAATGCTAAAAAGAGTATAGTGATATAAACAAAGGGAATTTAGCACAATACAGCAGGTAATCCGATAATGAAAACACTACAATGTACCTAAATGACAAACCATTAAAGAAGAAGTTGTATATGTACAGTCTAAAGCTACAGTCTGAATACATGCACACTGGAAGGTGGTTAAAGATATGCCAGTGTGCCTTGGTAGCTCTTACACTTTACTTTCAGAAAATAAGATACATGTTTTTTTATGAAGTACAAAACTTCAAAAATTATCACGTCACTGTGATCCATAACCCAAAGACTTTGAAAAAGAGCATTTTTGTAGCTGTTTAAAAAGTAAAATTTGTCCTTTTAATATAAAGCGAGCAATGCAAAGACATATAAGATAAACCTAATATGGAGCTTATTAAGACCTTTAAATCTAGGTTCTGTGAATGTGAATCATGTTGAAAAAGAATGGTATTTTGAGCTGTAAGCATTATTACAGTACATACATCTGTACAACACGTTTCATCCCAAAGGAAGAGTAGGAGGGGACTAGTTTAGTGTATCGGCTACCTGACGTTCCCTCGGGAGCCATTCAGCACCAGGAGCCTAGACAGTAGATGAGGTGGAGCAGAGAGAAAATGCTTTGCCAGTTGAATTAAGGCAGAAATTGTTGTGGCCAGATTGTGCTGGGGTGGAATTGAGCCATCATAATGGGATTAACACCCCAGGGACTGAATAAAATGTAAACACAGAACAATATTGAAGTATCTTCCAAATCAGCTAGGCTTTATTCAGTGGTGTAAAAGTGTGATTTCTGAGTGTGAAAGAGACTCACAATGATTCCAGGACAAGAGAGCTGAGAGTCTAAGACTGATGATAAAGTAGATAAAAGCCAAGCACTGATCTTTGGAGGAAAGCTTTTTGTTACACAGTCTGGAACTTAAAATTGTAGCCGTTTCTGTATGTACAGTATCATTTTTGTGATTTCAGCACATGGTTTCACTAGTCATTCCCAGGAGGTCCCAGGAAGGGGTCTATGGCTTTCCTCTGACATTTTCTCACATCAGCCTGCTCCTGGCAGTGGCGCGCTCTGTGAATCACATTCTTCTCAGGATGTGAATCATAAAGATGGCAAGACAGTGACGCTCTTTTCCTCTCCGCTTGCCTCGAACCCCTCTTCCCATGAACGATCCCCCCGAGACTCAGTGCTCACGTCTGCTACTACAAAGCACCGCCCCACTTACCAGCTCTCGCCTCTCCTCTTTGTGCTTTTAAGATGAAAATGTGGACACAAGCTACAGAAAATGTATGATAGGCTAATATTTGAATGCAGTGTAGCTAAAGAGCAAGACCCTGTTCTCTCTCTCTTTATTATTTACTATCAGCACTGTGCATTCCTAGTACCTTCATTGTGGTGATTATAATGGTTTGTGTGTGAATTGAAAAGCCAGTTTCTCACTGAATGCCTTGTACACCGTTCTGGTCTGTGTCGCTGCTGTATTGGAACACATGTTAGAACAAATGACAGATTCACCACAAATGGCATGTGATAAACCTTACCTAAATCACTCAATGACTTATGCATTTGTTTGGACAGTCTTCTATTTGTTTACTGCCTCTGTGTGCAAAATGCATTACTTAATCAGCTTGAATGTGTGCTACACAAAGGAAATTGTGCAGAACCAACACTACAGTATGTAATGAATTAGAAAAACTTTCAGTTCCTAGAGTATTTTTATAAATTGTTCCTAACAGAAAAGGTTTACTACATGCCAACATAAATGTTTATCCTCTCGTTCCTCTTAATTAAAGCTTGTCCGACATAACATATCATGTGTCAGTGCAATACTATAGCTTGGGAAATCCTCTTGAGCTCTCTCACATATTCAGTGCAGCTTGTCCAAGAAGTGAGAACAATAGTTTTTTTAGATTTCAGCCTGCGTTCATAAGTAATCTGATGCAAACGGGTGAAGCAACGTTGTGACAGGTCCAGTCGTACATCTCTAGACTGTTTCCGGTGCTTAGTGATTCCTCAGTTAAAATTTTGGAATTTCTGGTAGATTACTGTAAGTGTGGGAGAAGTGATTTTTGCAACAAAGGAAAATTTTAGGTAGCACGATTTTTTGGAGGGGTGTGTGTGATGAATTTACCGAGAATTGAATGGGAGGTCCTAGCAGATATAAAAGAGAAAATGACTTCGTTGCCCACTTCGTCGTCGTTTCATGTTAAATCTTTAAATCTTGTGGTGGTTTTCTTCAAAATAGCAGTGATGAAAAACCGGAAATTATAAAGCAATTGAGACAGCACAACATTCCAGAAACAAGGGTACATCCCTTGTTTCTGGTATTGTAGGACATTTGGGCAATGCGTTCTAAATCGCTTCCACGGTTTTGTGAAGTTATTTTTTTTATTTCTACCTTAACTACATTATCGGAAAGGTCTCTGTTACAAGTGCTTTTTTGGCGCACTTTTACTTACGTATTCCTTGGCAGTTTGGATTGGGGGGGATTTTCACATTTTCTTTGCTCCGGAGCTCCTAATTTGTTGAAATTATTATTTTAAATACGAAGGACGCCAGTCAAGCAGGAAACAGTAGAGGCCTGGAACACACACAAAACAAATCACATAGTTTTCACTTAAGCGTTTGATTTTTGGATTTTGAATGAACTTTGCTCAGAAAAGGAGCAGTTTCTGGACTGGAACAAAAAGCTGTGGTCGATGTTCCGCTCATGAAGGTTTTATGTACAATGTGTTTGATTGTTTGAAAACTGAAGGCCGCACTTAAAATCTGGAATACAAAATAATTAGGTATGATGATTTGGTTACTATGGTGACTTTTGATGTAATATTATCATTGTGGGAAAAGGCTGTAAAATTTACCCTAATCATATTTTTAAAGCCCCAATAACTATATGTCTTACTATGTACTGAGAGAAAACACAGCAACAACAAAAAAACATTTACAATTTTAGTGATATTGGTGTACTTGGAGATAAGTGAGCCGTCTCCTTACCGGTTCTCGTTCAAAGGGGTTAATAGGCGAATGCATAGTTTCATTAAGATTTTATCGAATCGCATATTTTGGTAGGTTGTGTATTTTAAAAACACCCCCGACCTAACCTTAACGAACTGCAATACAAATAAACAGTTGAAAGTGGTTGAACTGATGTCTTGGCAGTCCACGCTCGGCGCAGAACAGCTGGTGGTGATTTTGTAGTGTTAGGAAAGGGCTGAGATACTGGCGAGAGCAGCGCTGTGCGCTCTGTGATCAGCGTGCTTTCTGGCTGTGCGGAGTTGCATTGTGGGTCCCTGAAATTGATCCAGTAAATTGGAGATGGCGCTGTGTACAGTGTGAGCGAGTTAGCAGCCAAAGTTTGGAGAACACAGGAAAGTTAGCAGGAGGAAAGGCGAACTGCGATTCAAATTAGTTTTTTTTTCAAGTGGTAAATCAAATTTTGGAAACCGCTGTTCGGAGGACGGGAGCCGACATGTAACTCCGCATTTCGCGTTGGAAATCGTGACTTTGTCTTTTGGACAAACGGCGTTTTCGTGATAAATCCTCTAACTGCAGGGATACACTCTTGTGCTGTGAAACACTGCATATCAGTTCAATGGGACTGTGCATTATGATAACTGTAAGTAAATACGATTCATAACTCCTTGGGGTCGCGGGAGCATAGTTTGTTGTAATATGTGTATTTACTTGTGGTCGAATGAAAGAGCGGCTGAGGTATTCCCTTGGATGTATATGAAGCTATGAACGACCCGCGGGAGATGACACCGGTTTCCAGGAAGCACCGACTCATGGCTGCAGTTCTGCCCGGAGAAGAGAGCGCCCTGGTCGGCAGCGGCTCCAGACCGGATCGTAATGGCATAGGTTTGATTTATTGCTTTATATGTGGAGGGGGTGTTACTCCTGGAAAAGAACTCAAACTACAAGTTAAATATCAAAGAGAAAACTATCCATTTTTCCCATTTTTGCAACACCAAGAGCCGGCGCCAGGGGCTGAAGAGGTTACACTGGAGGGATGCGTCCTCGTCTGCGCCGTGTGTCAGAGTTTTCTAGGGGAGCAGTGGAACTCTTTCGAGAGATCCAGGACCCCGATAGAGAAACGCATGTACTGGCTGAAAAGACCGTATCAGTGCGACTCCAGACGGATACCGCAGGAATGGAACATCTCGTACGATTTGGAAAGGAGGATCAGCGTGAGTAGCCAAAATTTTGACGCACCTGAATCCGACTTGTCATCTCTGTCTGAAAACGAAAATATGTCAGATCAGGAATTTGACTTTGGAGACCGACCGGGCTTGATCAAAGAGAAGTGTTTACGAATGTCCACCAGCAGCAAGACGCCTAAAGAAGGGGCTGCGAGAAGTAACGACGGCAGAGGCAGCCCTGATGTCCAGCTGGGAAGCCGGTTCGCTCTCAGCAGTTACGCCGGGCAGGACGCACAGAAACCGGATAGTGGCCTTCTGCCTAGGCGCTCTGCGCAGATTGGGAATCACGCGGCTCAGCCTTCAGTGTCCCTGGCCCAGTTCCCGGAGGTGCTGCCACAGCGGTGCTACAGCACCCCTTCTGTCGAGACACCTGTGCAAGACAACGGAATCATTATACGCACCAAGCGGCGGCTACCAGAGGAGAATGCCAAACATCCCGACCAGCGCCAGCGCACTGGCGACGGCAGCTGTAATTCTCGGCACTCTCTGGTTCCGCTACACAGAAGTCACAAAGCAGCAGATGTTGGCGATGCAGCGGCGGCGCTGTCACCTGTCGGCGCCTCCAGCACTCCAGACCGCGACTTTGTCGACGTCCAGAAGGGGGACGAGCCGCGCCGGGCAAATGACAGCGGCAGCAACAGTGATGCCGCTGGCGGCCGCTCCGACTCGGACAGCAATGAGATAAACATAACAAGTGACGACGACCGCGAAGTATTCGATCTCGGCAGGGAGCGTGTTCGGGCGCTAAACAGACAGAAAAGAGAGTCTGGGAGTGTAATCGCGAAGCCCCAGAGCAGTACAGCGGCGGAGGAGAGTGCCTGCTACATCTGCGGAAGCAAACTGTCCCCAGCCAACCAGTACCGAGTGTATGTGCAGAAACAAGAGAGAACCTCAAACGAGCCCTTTTTCCCTTTCCTGTGGCTCCACAGCCCCCCCCCAGGAGCCGTGGCCCTCAGCCCCGCAGGGTGCACCCTAGTCTGTGCCTGTTGCCACTCCTCGCTCATGCAGCAGTGGCAGGGCTTCGAGCTGGCCAGCGTGCCCGTGCTCCAGCGCCTGTATGTTGTGCCCCTCAACCCGGGCGTCTCAGGCCAGGAGCCCCGGCCCCCCGAGAGCTGCAAGCCGGAGCCGGTCAGAGAGGCCTGCTTCCTCTGCGGCCAGGACTGCAGCGAAGACGTTAAGGTGATCTGTGCCAAGGTGGGGGCGGGCAGTTCCACAAGCACGATGCACTTCCCCTTCATTAATCTGCTCCCTTGCCCCCCGAAAGCCAGGGGGGTTAAGAATGGCAAAGTGCACTGCTGCCAGACGTGCTACACCATCCTGGAGGATATCTGGGCGGCCTATCGGCTGTGCCTTAGCGAGGAGCTCATCACGTCAGTCAGCACCTTCCTGGGGAGGTACCACCAGGCCGTGACGGGAGCCGCCATCCAGGCCAGCTCCTTCGGGCACCCCGCGCCCCGGAGGGGGCACACCGCCGTGTGCTACCTGTGCGGGGCGGAGCTGGCAGCGGGCGTGGAGTTCCAGCTGCACGTGAACCCGCCGGGCCGCTGCGGGGAGAGGGAGCCCTTCTTCCCCTTCCTGACCGTGCAGCCGCCCGCCCCCCGCGCCAGGCCCGCGGACTCCACGGGCCTGGTCTCCACCTGCCTGCTGTGTTACCACGACCTGCTGGGCCAGTGGGTCCAGCACGAGCGGCGGGCCGGCCAGCCCGCCAGCAGCCCCTGGTCGCGGCAGTACAGCTGCGAGACCTTCGTGTGCTTCTTCTGCAGGCAGGAGAAGAGGCGCTGCCTGGGCCTGAAGATGGTGCACGTGGCCCGGCTGCCCGTGTTCCTGTATGCCCCCAGGGTCAGCAACACTCTTGTGGTGGACGATGGGAAGAAGCTGACAATCGGATCTTGTGTGGAATGTAAATCTATGGTGTTGGCTGGTCAGAATATGAAGCAAAACTGCTTATTGGACAGTGCATCGCCTCCCATTAAACACAAGGTAAGACTCACTGTGCCCCTGTATTTTTACAGTGTGTGTTCTATTATATGCTAGAAATGTGTTTGAATATGCTGAGTTTTTCTTCAAACATTAGAAGAAAATGGTATGACGTAGGGCCTTGTTTAGACTTTTGCTCATTATCCAGTTGTGCTAGTCTGGTATTGCTTTTGAACATTGTGGTGCAGCCTTATCGTAGCAGAAGGTCTGAAAGTTCATCAAAGTGATAAGCTGTGCTGATCCCAGCTGGCGCACTTATATCGCAGTTCTGTACTGTTTATTTCTGTAAGACTTCTCAACACAATTTAAATGAGGGCAGACATTAGTGACTGGAGGTCTGGATTCTGTAATCAGTTTTAAAAATCATTTGTTTCTTTTTTCATTTCTGATTCAGTATGAGTAACTGTTCTTTGTTTATGCCTTTTGTCATGCTGTGCGAATGAGTTCATACACCGGTGTGTGTTTATCTTTGGACAAAATCTACGTAGGTTGAGCATTTTTCTTTTGGCTCTGCTGGCTGATCCATGGCTGTCAACCTTGCACCCATTTGATCTCTTTCCTGGCAACAGCGTTGTGCTTTGCAGTGGAGCCAAGGGATGTCTAAACCTTGTGTAAATGCTTCTTAGCAACAGTGTAATGTCATATGTTGTGGTGAAAAGCTTGCCAAACTGATAGGAGGAGATTCAGTTATAAACCAAGGGCTAGGAAGGTGGGGCAAAAAAGAACATGGGAGGACGTTATCAGGAAAAAAGGCAGTAAAACTGCAAAATGTAGTTTGTGGCAGACATTAAAAAAGCCAGTAAGTATCGTGGGCTGGTGAAAGGCTTTCTGGGCTTTGCTGTTTAGTTGCAGAACATAAACGCTAGCCAATTGAACCCAGACTCCAGTCTGCCCTTCATCAGAAAGGTCATGTGTGGGACAGCATTTGCAGTCTGTGCCTGATTAAAAAGTGCCTTAAATGACTAAAAAAGACGAAATCTTAGATTCACAGAAGTATTTGTACTAACACAGTGTACAGAGGGTATACTGCACAATACTTAATTTTCCATCTGTCCTAAATGTAGAGTTCTCTTGCAAAATTGTTTGATGAACTGTGAAATGTCTCAGTTTCTCTTCCTGTTGCATTATTTTTCTCTTTCTATAATGGGAAGCACATGGTTAAGAATGGCAATTTTTTAATAACAAATTGGGGGTTGCATAGGGGAATTTTTAGCAATGGGTCATGGTAAAGCATGTAAAATTACTGTACGAAGTACGTGAAGATCCAAAGAGAAGTAGTTAAGCTTTAGGTCAAAGACACACGGACAATTAAGCTGTTGTGGTCTTAGCAAACGGATGACTTCATGGCTTTGGAAATGTGAAGGGCTGGGAAGCAGGTGTTCCTCTTCCAGTGACATGTGATCTGCTCGCGAGCTCGCCTGTCAGCACTGTCGTGTCAGTATAAGGCACACATCTGTTTCCTCCGTTGCCTGGCCCGTTATCGGTGAGAGGAAAGAAAAGAGAGAGTGAGAAAGAGACAGTGCTGTTCAATACTGCAGTGACTGACCTTTTAGATACATTTCACACTTTCTGGTTTCCAGGATCACATTACAGTGCACAATCTGAGCTTCACCGCCTTAATATGGATTTGCCTTATTTACCAGTACTTTCCAATAGGCAAGAACATGGCTATCAAATATAATAATGAAGACAAAAAACTTTCTTTTTTTGTAATGCATCAGTCTTGTTTATTGACATAAAGAAAACTGTAGTCTCTTTCTCAGCACGGTCATTTGATTCTTCTCGCATATAAATCAACAGTTGTGTGGCCCAGCCATTTTTGGAGTTCGTCTGCGATTTAGATTTTTTCATAGTTTTAGTTTTTGTGTTCACATTAAGTAACGTTTACTATTGTGCTCAAGTATATTGTGGACTTGTTTTTGTTCGCTAAGACAGAAGCTGAGACTGAGAAGCTCATTTCACAGAGACCTACAGAAGACTTGAAACTGTGGACAAGTCATTGTGGTTGTCCTTTTCCTCCAAGTTATTCTTGTTGTAGAGCTTCATTCTTTAAGTCAATTGAAATTAAGAATAACTCTATCAGCTTCTTATGATCTGCCTCTCCTTTACTGTTTTTGCTCTGGTGTAATTAGGATTGTTAGGGGGTTGAGGCATTAAAAAATAAATAGGTTCAGTATAACTGTGATACTTTGACACAGGCCTGCCACACTGGGTAAGTTAACCAAGCTTTCTTGTCATTTCTTTGGCAAGAAAATGGCTCTTCTTTAATTGAAAACACCCAAGGAGATTTGTGCATCAGAATGAAATGAGATATGACACATGATGGTCTGGAAGTTCACTTTAGAGCCATGTGACATGCCCATATAAAGCACTCAAACACACTTTATATATAGTCCATGGCACGTCTAAGGCATATTCATAATTACATGTCAGGGAGTTTAGCCAAACTTTGCGCTCTGATGGTGATGAACTTTTTAACAGAGCATTCAAATTTGTTCCCTATTAGGCAGCTCAATGAAGAGCTGCTTTAGAAGATATTCAGCTGTTTCATTTGTTGTAGCGTTACTGTGACTTGTATCCAACTCATTTCTCTAATCCTGCCTTTTTTGCTTGATCTTTCCAAGCCCTTAAAGACCTGGGTTCCATCATTCTGTAATTCTCCACTCCTGAAGAAGTTTGAGGGAGTTGCTTTTAAGATATAGTGTACGAGTTTATGTATTAACTGTGCAATTCCTATACAGACTAATATAACTGATTAGTTTTTATAAAGATTCTCCCCTACTTGGAACTGTAACACATTAGTTTTTATAAATAACTTTCTCCAACCCTGTTTAAGACTTGCCACAAATGCAAGGTATGATCATTTTTTAAAGATAATTGGTCTACTTCAAAGCCCGTTGTAAGCTTTGAAATTTACAGGGTGTTGGGATTCTTATTTCATATGATCTCTACATTACTTAATTGAACAAAGAAACTTATCTTCAGTGGTCAAAATATAATGGTTCCAAACACTTGTGGATCAGTGATTTAAGGATAAAACCTGCTGTACTGAGACTCTTGATATGTAACAAGCATGTGGTCAGGGCAAGACTGTAGAGCCTGGGTATCTGGGATCAGTGGTTTGAATGTCTGAAACACAGACTAATTGTACCTTTATGGTGATCTGATGAGATCAGTTTGTAAATTAATGGTTCCGGTTGTAATTCAAGCTGTAAAGTTAAAGTACAATCAGTAGGAATTTTTGTTTGGGTTTCATATTACAGTATATGATCAATTCCCTTGAAATTGATGCCCTGGTTGGTCACCTAACATCAACACCAGTAGTTTTTCACCCACACTTGAGTTTTACGGCACATTCATTCCTGTGACTGAAAAAATAGCCTACATTTTGGCAAGCTGCTCATTAGGAGTTTAAAAAAGACATAAGCATTAACATATTGAATGGCAAAGTGACATGACTGCAAGATCTGTGTTTGTAGAGAATTGGAAACGATGGATTTCATTCTTTTCAACTTAAAATCAAACAAAGGCTCTTGTTTCTGTGTTTTGACAGGGCTTGAAGTTAATTGGTTTACTTAGCAGTCTCTCTTTTCTTCTTGCTGCTGATGTGATATGAAGAGGTGGCTGAGGGCCGTCAGTGTGTTCATGGGTGTGGACCAGCCCTGGTCCTACAAGTGCCAACACTTGACCAGAAGGGTCAGCCTCAGCCCCTTCCTGAATTGAGGTTGTCCTTGCTCCTGGTTGCCTTTATATGTTGGGAGAGTTCACACTTGGAAAAAGATGCTCATATGCAGGGGCATTCCAAGTATGCAACTGCTATTTTCTTATAAAAAACTTGTTAATACATTTTTGAGTTTCCTTTTAATACAATATTAATAACTTACAGACTCTAAGAAGTAACTAAATCATTTCATTGGAAGACATAGTACTGGTTCTGACAATTTTCAAACCTCATTTCACAAGACTAATGCTGCTCTTCAGAAAATACTTTTTGTAACACTAGTTTAAACATTGTATCCTCTAGTTTCTTGTGCAAGTTCCCATAAAACGTTACACACACAGTTTGTCAAATCTATGATTATAACATCATAAAGCTGATATATCCAAACAAAAAGACACAGAATTCCATAAATACCTCATAGACTTCCCTTTTGCACAAGAAACTGAATTCCCCAGGAGAAGTACCCTGCAACAGTTTTTCATTTTTCTATACCATTTCAGCTGACTTGTATTTACTGTGAAGAGACAGCAGTTTGTTTTATCCAGCAAGTCGCAAGGCACAGCTTTGTTTAAAAGTCCTTGAGCCAGATGAAGGTTATTGCACCTTGAATGGGTTTAAAAATGGCAGAATTTGCAGTTCACAGGAAACCCAGATCTGTTTAACACATTTTCAGCTTACTGGTGTTTAAATGTTTTGGCTAAATTCAAGCCACAGTGTAATAAAATTCTCTTTTAATGAAGATGTTTGTTGTATGGGTGTGTAGCCAGTCGTCTTAATACTGGCGGCTGTTGCTGTTAGTTAAATTTCATTTTAATGTCATTACATGAGGTGACAGTGTTAGATTTTGTAATCTATGATTTGTAAAAATCATATATTGTGAGGCAATTATGCTCAGTCAAATGGGCCTACATTTTGTAAGCAAACTCTTGTTGACTTGAAAACTCTCAAGAACAGAATATGCTTGAGTGCCACTCAAGCTGTTTCTTTAAACAGTAGTGGAAAGTTTTTGGTTTGGATTTTGGAATTTGGGGGATGATTTTTTTCCACAAAATAAGTTTTTAAACAGTTTAATAGAGGGGATTACGTTTTTATAGTGTGTGTGTGACTGGTGCCATACGGGTTATTTGTGTCGTGCTTGTTGAAAAAGAAAGAAAAACAACCATCAGGATGTGGAATGTTGGGAAAAGAAGTCGCTTCAGAAAGATTGACGACAAATTAATCATGTGGGAAAAATCAGAGCAGGAAGGTTTTTTTTTTAGGATTTTCTGAAAATAATAACTCT